ATTTATACCACTCACTGAGATTCAAGATGGCTCCAGCAGCAAAGGTATCTAGGAAATGTCGGACTCTTAACTCTCTGCAGCCTCAGGCTTGGCTGACTAGCTGACTATCCAGAAAACCAGAATGCCCCCAGGAAGGAGGTTAATGAATATATACAGTATGGATAACTGCCTGATGTTATCTGTTAATTTAGGAATGCATTGTTCTTTCTAGTGGTCTACTTGACTACCCACCATATGGTTTTACTATTAACCTCTAAAAAAAGAGAGACCCTGTCCTGGGAGGGGTGTGGATATTTTCCCAGCCAGCCACCGCTGGGAGCAGCTGCTTTGCTCAGGTATGTAAGTTTCTCCTATTAAACCTCTTGTGAATTCCAATAAAGTTATGTGTCAGTTCTTCAGAACTGATCCTGAATTTAGATTTTTGGGGCTTTCCTCCAACACAGAGCCTCCAACTGTTGCCTGGGTTACCACGAAAGCCTCCTGACAGATCTGTTCCTATTTTTGCCCCTGGATGGTATTCAGTATTCTTAGCTCAGGGGTCTGAGTGACCCTTTAAGACCTATGTCATTTCCAGAATATAGAAAGAACTCATACATACCTGGCCGGTGTCACTCAGTGGTTGAGCATCAATCAACCCATGCACCAAGAGGTCACCGGTTTAATTCCCAGTCAGGGCATATGCCCTGGTTGTGGGCCCGATCCCCAGTGGGGGGCATGCAGAAGGCAGCCAATCAATGTTCTCTCTCATCGATGTTTCGATCTCTCTCTTCCTATCTCTTCCTTTCTCTCTAAAATCAATTTAAAAAATTTTTTTAAAGAAAGAGCTCTTACCACTCAACAACAGAAAGACAAATAACCCAATTTAAAAATGGGCAAAGACTTGAATAGCTATTTCTTCAAAGAAGATACACAAATGGCCAACGAAGAGTTGAAAAGATGTTCAACATGAGTCACTGGAGAAATGCAAATCAAAATCATAATGCGATACCATTTCATACCAATTAGGATGGCATTAAAAACTAAAAACATCAAGTGTTGGCAAAGATGTGGAGAACCCTTGCATGTTGTTAATGGGAATCTGAAATGGTGCAGCTGGAGATCGGTCCCAGAGGGCACCCTTCCCGAGAACACATGGAATGTACAACTATATTTAGAGCAATTCTTCCTGAGAGACAACTGAGGGCTAATTGAATGGCTTCTTCACAAAAGAGAGAGAGAGAGAGAGTAGAGAAGGTCAGGGAACCATGCGGGTTCTTTGGGAGCTGAGGGAACACTCCAAAACAGAAGGAACCACAATAGATACATAATTAAGGAAGAAAAATGGTGCAGCTATTATGGAAAATAATCCAATGGTTCCTCAAAAAGTAAATATAGAAATACTATGTGAACTACCAATTCCACTCTTCAGTAAATGCACAAAAGAACTGAAAACATATACTCAATCAAATACTGGTACACAAACATTTATAGCAGCACTGTCCACTCTGGCCCAACAGAAGAGACTACGCACATGTCCATCAGCTGATGAATGGTTAAGTGGTACATCCATACAGTGGGATACTATTCAGCTATAAAAAGAATACTGATATGTGTGCTACGACATAGATGAACTTCAAAAACGTTACTGTGATGGTTAATTTTATGTGTCAAGTTGACCGAGCTAAGGGATGCTCAGAGAGCTAGTAAAACATTATTTCTGGGTGTGTCAATGAGGATTAGCATTTGATTAGCTAAGAGATTAGCATTTGATCCAGTAGACTGAGTAAAGGCATCTGTCCCTGTCACCCAATCCATTGAGTCTGAATGTAGCAAAAGGTGAAGTAAGGACATATTCTCTTTCTCTTTCTCTCTCTCTCTCTCTGTCTCCCATTGAACTGAGATATCCATCTTTTCCTGCCCTCAGACCTCGGAGCTCCAGGTTCTCAGGCCTTTGGACTTGGACTGAATTACACCAGTGGCTCTCTTGGTTCCCTCCTTGCAAATGGCAGATTGTGGGACTTCTCGACCTCTGTACTGTGTGAGCCAATTCCTATAAAAACTCTCCTCTTACATATATTTCTATGATGTTCTATTGGTTCTGTTTCTCTAGAGAACCCTAAGACAATTATGTTAAGTAAAAGAAGTCAGACAGGAAGGGCCACACATACTTCTATTCCATTCATCTGATATATTCAGAATAGGTAAATCCATAGAGGCAGAAAGCAAATTGGTGGTTTTCAGGGTCCCAGGAGAGGGGAGAATCGGGAGTGACTGTTTAAAGCGTGTGAGGTTGCCCAGCTGGTGTGGCTCAGTGGTTGGGCGTCGTCCCATACACCAAGAGGTCACTGGTTCAATTCCCCGCTGAGAGCACATGCCCAGGTTTTGGGCTAAAACCCCAGTAAGGGGTGTGCAGGAGGCAGCCAGTTCTCCCTCACATTGATGTTTCTATCTCTTTCTCCCTCTCCCTTCTTCTCTCCCTAAAACTCAATAAAAATATATTTAAAAAATAAAGGGTGGAGGGTTTATTTTTAGGGTGATGAAAAGGTTTTGGAACTAGAGAGAGGTGGTGGTTGCCCAGCAACATGAATATACTAAATGCCAACAAACTGTTCACTGTAAGGTGTTTAATTTATGTTATATGAATTTTACAAAAAAAACCCCAGGAGACAAAAATGCTATGCCCCTCCTCTGCTCAACACTGCCAACGGCTCCCCAAATGCCTCAGTAAAAGGTAAAGTCTCACAAGGGTTCACAAGCTCGACCCTCACCCCCACGATTTAGTCTCTCCTAATCTTAAGGTAATCATTTTAATTTCTTCTTAGTCTCTTACTACGTTCCACTCATCTTTCTGGACATCATGTGACGTCATCTCATTCGGAAGCCTAGATTAGGCTGGGTCCATCTGCCGTGGGCTCTCACAGAACTTCGTGGTTTCCAGATTACAACTGGCTAAACTTTATTGTAACAATGACCTAACCACCTGTCTTCCACGACACGAGAGTAGAAGCTCCATGAGGGCAGGTCAGGGCCCCACTTCCCATTTGCTTACTTCTGTTTCCAGCTCAGTGCCTGGCATACCATGGTGTTCAATGCTTGTTGCGAAATGAAAAGATGAAAGGACTTTCCAACCAGGTCTCCTTGTAGGAGGCTTAAAGGTCTCTGAAATAATCACAGATTGAAGATAATCCTTGCAAAAATGTTGGTTATACTCATCTTTCAGATGAGGAAATTGAAAGCCAGAGTAGTTAAATGTCTTGCCCAGGGAGACTCTGCCCCTGAATGACAGCCCAGAATTCCCACCTTTCTAACTTTTCACAAAGTAGTGTTGTAGACCAACGAGACAGACCAGACTCAGACTCCGAACTGGGTTCAAATTAAGAGAGCTTTATTAGCCGCGCGGCGACTGTCCCATCCTACGCAGAGGAGAGAGCAGCCCCGAGTTCAGGGGGAGGGTTGCTTATATAGTTGTCTTAGCCCCTGTTAAGGAATTTGGGCTAAGGGTCTGCAAGCAAGCAAGCACATTCAGAAGCAGATATTTGCAGTTAGCAGATATTTGCAGTTATGCCTGAGGGAGCAAGCAGTTTTGGTGTACACAAAGCAATGGTTATCTATACAATGCAGTGGTTATCTATTAACTCTAGTAGCTAGTTCTTGCCATTTTCTCTTAAAATCCAGGGGGTAAGGTCTGCCTAATGGAAAAATCTTTCTGTACATTCACATAGCATGTGTTTGTCCTTTACAGTAGAATTTCCTTTTTTTTTCTCATTTTTTTTCTTTATTGATTTTAGAGAGAGAGAAAGGAAGAGGGAGTGAGAGATAGAAATATCATGAGAGAGAACATCAACTGGCCGCCTCCAGCATGCCCCCACTGGGGATCGGGCCCACAACCTGGGCATGTGCCCTGACTGGGAATTGAACCGGGGACCTCTTGGTGCATGGGTGGATGCTCAAACACTGAGCCACACCAACTGGGCACAAAGCAGAATTTCTAAGGGAGCCAAGGATGGCAACATCCTTGCAACATCCCCTCCAGGAAGTCTTTACAAATCCCCTGGATAACAATGTCTCGTTTTCCTCTGGATTCCCCAAGAGTTTATCATTTCAAAAAAATATATCTATTGCTTTCCTCGGAGCCCTGGATTATAACTGCTGGTCCCGTTGTCCTCCTGTCTTCTGGACAATGCACCACCCGCAGCCAAGCAATAGATACATAAAGCACCCAGCTGGAGTCACCCGGCTCAGGTTTCCAAGCCTGACTCCACAGCTTACTAGCGACGGGACCCTGGCCAGAGAGCAGGGCTCGCTGGGCGCTCCCCTCCTGAACGGTAAGTAGTGGCAGGGGTCGGACGGGCCATTGAGGAGAGGAATCTGAGCAGGGAAGGGGTGGGGGGACTGGAGGAGGGGAGGCGGGCGAGCCGGATTGGCCCCTGCGCGCCACGTGTCCACCCCGAGCGCGGCCGTCCTCCCGCCCGCCCCTGCGCTGCGGCTGCTGCTGCTGCTCCGCTAACGGGCTCCCACCCCGCGAGCTCGCGTCCGCGCGTCCGTCCGCCCGCCCGCCCGCCCGCCGGCCGCGACAGGAGGCCCCCGCGCGCGGTGAGTGGGCTGGGGCCGGAGACGGGGTCGCTCGAGGGGACCCCGGGCCGGGGGCTGCGGGGGCGATGAATAAACGCCCCGTCATCACGACCTGTGCCTCCCCCGGGACATGGGGAGGGGGCGCCCCCGCGGGGAGGGCCGCGGGGAACTGCAGCCCACGGGCGCGGCCGCCGACAGGGTCGTGGGCTGGGCGCGTCTGGAGAGCGCCGCGGAGCGACCTGGGGCTGCAGGCGCAGCGGGGCGGACGGCGCCCTGGCTGGGGGAGGGGAGGGGAGGCGGCGGCGGAGGGAGGGCCGGCCCTGCGGAGGGTGTGGTCCCGGGCCCGGACCTGGGCTGAGGGCGCCGCCGCCCCTGCTTCGGGCGTGGGGTAGGGTGCGAGGGGGCCCTGGAGGGACGAGAAGGCCTGGGGCTGGGGGCACCTGGACCGGGATGTAAGGACCCGACCGTTGGAAGGGTGCGGCTGAGGTCGAAGACAGTGGACGTGGGGAGTCAGACCCTCCAGCCACTTAGGAAGTGGCTGAGTATGTCGCTGGGGACCGATGAAGGACCGGCTGTCCACACCTCGGGCCCGTGGACCATGCTTGCCCCCAAAGGAGGCTCCCAGCTGGGCGCCTGGAGGGCGGCACAGGCCCCACCCTTCTTCCTGCTCTGCGTCCCAAAACTTGGGGCTTCGGAAAACTCCTAGAACACCAGCAGGGGAGTGAAAGCCCTTGCATCGAATCCCAGCTCCACCACCAACTTTCATGTGACCTTGAGTCGCTAGCTGTCCCTGCCTGCCTCAGTTTCCATCTCCGAGCCGAGTTGCTGGACCCAGCCCCTCCCAGAGGGAACAAGGCTTTGAAAGGTCATTTGGCAGCGCCGGGAACAATGACCGGTTGGGGAAGTCTTGATTAGGGGCTTGGGAAGCCTGGCCCACCCCTGTAGGCCCTTCTAGGGGAAAGGGCGCCGGGTCGTTTGGGAGGATGAATACAGCCTTTGCTTCCTCCCTCCCCCTCCTTTTCTCGAAACCCTGGTAGGTCTTCCAGGACTATCCCAAATTTGGACATATGGCTCTGGGTTTGTGAAAGGACTCTGGTTTCCCTGAGTCCGCCTTTCCCTCCCTCTTTCCCTGTCCAAAGCACACCTTAAATTGCTGGCCTCACTGACCCAGTTGGGATATCCTGACCTCATGGCCCTTTTCCTTCCGGTTGAATGACCTGCCCAGCTTCAGCTCCCACGGACCCTGCCCTTCTGGCCATCAGGCTCTGCACCATGCCGAGGGCACTTGCCTGGGGGTCAGTGGAAAGCTGGGTTATAGTTCCAGGTGCTGGGGGTCCTTGGGCAAGCCCCTTCCCTCTCTGGGCCTTAGTTACTAGTCTGTTGAATTGGCTGCCACTTCCAGCGCTGGTATTCTAGGATTCAACTGTTCTGGGACTTAGAATTCTGGGAATTGGGTGGGGCTGGGGAAGGAGGCAGAGGCCTCTGTTCCCTCTTTGCAGCTGTGACAGTCACTCAACCATCTTCCTTTGCCTTTTTGCCTTAACACTCCTGTTCTTGAGGGGGCTGCTGGGATACAGAAAATAGTTGTGGTTTCTGGGTAAGGACCACAGCTGTTGTGTGAGTGTGCAGAGGAGGGGGCTGATTCCTGGGAGCCCTGCAGTGATGGGTGGCTGCCAGAGTCTGGAACCTCTGCACTGCAGCATGCAGAGGGAGCCCTGGGCCACCAGCCCCAGCCACTAGCCAGCTGGGTGCCTTGGGCACACCTCCTACCCCCTGGGCCTTAGTTCCTTCCTCTCTAGAGGGATAAGAGATGTGCCCAGGGCACCCAGCTGGTAAAGTGGGTTGGGGCTGCATGGCTTTCCTTGTGTCATTCTAGGATTTTCTGGGGTGGCCCAGTGGTGTAGCCAGCCTCACCCCACCCAGCCTCTCCAAGATACTTCCTGGGTGGGGACAAAGCACAGGATGTGGTTTTTACCCTGATTTCTGAGTTTGCATGTCTTTTCCCCACTCCCCACCCACAGTGGAGGAGCAGACATCTGTGCCTGTGTGGTGGGGGATGCCTTTGTGCTTGTAAACCTCTTGGCTTTGAATCAGCCGCATTCCATTTCCTTTCTTCCTGAGAAACCCCACAGAGACTGGCTAAGGGGGAATGACTGTCCTTGGATTCTTTGAGCCTCAGATCCCCCACCTGTGAAATGAAGATGAGTTTACCTTCATAAGATTATAAAATGGCAGATGTGAAAGTGTCTGGTAAACAACAGAGTGCTGTGCACAGAGAAGCCAGGTGCTACTGTTGTAATCTCAGAGTGTGGTGCTTAAGAAAGCAGGTGACCTGAGCCTCGGGTTCGGCATCTGTAAACCGGTGTCCTGGTGCTCCTTAAATAATGACAAAATAGCAACTTCTATCATTTATTGACCCCTCCCAACTTGCCAGGCCCTGGCTGAACCCTTGATATATGAGGTGCTGTTATCATGCCCATTTTGCCAATGTGGAAACTCAACATTCAAAAGTTTAGGGAAATAATACACTTACTTGATGTGTCCTGTGTGCCAGGGCCACTCCTGAGCACTAACCGTGACTGAATTCTTTTCATCCTCACCACACTTCCTCGCAATAGGCACTGTTTTAATCTCCCATCTTACAGAAGTTAGGTACTTGGTCAAGGCCCCTGCAAAGCAGGTCACGCTGCGGTCCCAGGCCTGTGGGCCCCAGCCTCTGTACTGAGACACTACACTTTGCTGCCTTTCATGAAAGTGACCTGAGCTGGGATTCAAATGCGGTCAATCCAGTTCCAACCTACGGCAGCCCAGTGATCTCCTGGGGCCTTGTTCAGTCCTGCGATCAATGACTGAGTCAGAAGAGGGAAAGACACTGCTCTCTAAGAAACCTGAGTGCACGAGCTGGGGGTGTGCCCATGCTCAGGGCCAGGAATGCCCTTTACCTGGGAGGCTCCCAGAGGGTTGTGGGGCTGGTCCTGGGTGTCTTCCTTGGGGCTGGGGAAGGAACCAACAGGAAAGAGGAAAGGGAAGGATCTAGATCTTATAGGCCAGGGGCCTCTGAAGTGGGGTTCACACCCTCCAGCTGGCATTAAAGATGACTTTCTTGCCCTGACCGGTTTGGCTCAACGGTTAGAGCATCAGCCCGCGGACCAGAGTCCTGGGTTCGGTTCCCGCTAAGGGCACGTACCTTGGTTGCAGTTTGTCCCTGGCCCTGGTTGGGTGTGCGGGAGGCAGCCACTCAATGTGTCCTTTTCACGTCGACATTTCTCTCTCTCTCTCTCTCTTCCTTTTTCTCCCTCCCACTCTATCTGAACAAAAAGTAGAAAAATGTCCTTAGGTGAGGATAAAAAAAAAAAGAAAAAGATGACTTTCTTTAAACAGAAACTTTTCAACTGCTTTTGATCTCATGCTTTAAAAGTATATTTTTATTTATCATGACGATTGCAGTTATTTTCTTTTGTTACTGGTGGTATATAGGATAAAAAAAATGCACATTACTTCACTAAATTGCCAGCTTCATGGTTCGGGGAGACTCGTCATTTTTTATTCTACCCCAACTCTTACCAATGGGCACACAAGAGGTGCTCAGTCCTTTTTGAAAAATAAGCCCCTGCTTAATTACTAATTTTTTCATGAATTGAGCAAGTTGCTTAATCCCTCAGGTTATTTCCTCTCTTGGCTGTATAATGAGGAATAAAACCACTAAGCTGGATGATTCCTTTTATTCTGCTGAGAGGGAGCAGAGTTTTGCCACCCCCAAATATGCCATTTTGAGGAGGATATTGATTATTTCGAGCTGGTTATTTTTTAGAAACAAAAGACTCAAGAAGAGCCTGTTACCTCCCCCTTACTTGCCCCAAATAATTCAGACAGAAAAACCTGCCCCAGGAAGGGAGATCACTTTAGCAAAGTATGAATTAAGTGTGGCAGACAAGGAGGAACCTAGCAGTCTGATTGTTAGACCCTGCAGGGCCCCATCGTTTCTGGGTGGCCCAGATGTGTGCTCCTCATCTGCCTGTGAACTGCCTGCCTCCTCTTTAACTTTTTTTTTATCCTCACTCGAGGACATTTTTTTTTTTTTTTTTTTTGCGTTTATCTTGAGATAGAGTGGGAGGGAGAGAGGGAGGAAGAGAGAGAGAGAAACATCGATGTGAAAGAGACACATCGAGTAGTTGCCACCCACACGACCCCAACCAGGGCTGGAGACAAACTGTAACCGAGGTACGTGCCCTTAGTGGGAACTGAACCCGGGCCTCTCTCATCCGTGGGCCGATGCTCTAACTGCTGAGCCATACTGGCCAGGGCTGCCTGCCTCCTCTTTGAAGTCCAAGCGACTACTCTTTCTCCTTAGCTCAAGATGGGTTACAAGCCTCAACCGGGACATGTCCTTGAGTCCCATGTTCTTATGGAATTCCTGCATGTATATACACAGTAAATTTGGTTATTTTCTCTTGTTAAGCTGTCTCATGTTGATTTCATTATTAAACCAGCCAGAAGAACTTACTTAGAAGGTCTAGTAAAAGAAAAATTATTTTTTCTCCCTTACACTGTGATTTTTTAAAAATTTTAATTGTTTTTTTTTTTTAGCGGGTAAAGGAGGAGAAACAGCCATGTGAGAGCCAAACATCGATTGGCTGCCTCCTATACGCCCCCTACTGAGAATGGAGCTGGTGACCTTTCAGGGCATAGAATGACACCCAACCAACTGAGCCACCATGGCCAGGGCTACACTGTGATTTTTCAAGGGGGAGCATTAAAGCCACTCAGTGCATTTCATCCAACAATCCTTATGAGCCACACGCTATGGTACATGGCAAAGATGCATATTGATTTTCAAGAAAGAGTAGAATCGTGACTCAACTCGGATATAAAAATGACCGTGTGCTAAATATTTTACTGTACTCATTAATTAATGAGCAGACCAGGCAGATGTTATAACCAGCTTCACAGAGAATCAGTAGACAGCTTTGTATTGAAAGACGTGTACAAATGGAGGCACCTGTTTCATCCGAGGAGAGAAATCAGCAGGGTAGCATGAGCATGTCTGTAAGAATTATTTTGCATTACCAGCAGTTATCCACAGATTGCTGAGCTGTAAAACAGCGCAGAAACAAAGACTGAAGTCACAACCTGGAGAATTTGAAGTACAGATTTCCCTCCACAGTACCTTGGAGGCAAGCAGCCTCCACCAGGGGTGGGGAACATCCAGCCCACAGGCCTTCACACGCCTGACCAAATAGAGCAGGCTAATTTTTTTTTTTTAATCCTCATCTGAGGACATTTTTCCATTTTTTGTTCAGATAGAGTGGGAGGAAGAGAGAGAGAAACATCGACGTGAAAGGGACACATCGAGTGGCTGCCACCCACACGACCAACCAGAGCTGGGGACAAACCGCAACTGAGGTATGTGCCCTTAGCAGGAACCGAACCCGGGTCTCTCCGGACCACAGGCCGATGTAGAGCAGGCTAATTTTTAAGTTGATAATTCTGTGTGGCCCACGAATGATGTTATAAATACCCAAATGGCCTTTGACAGAAAAAAGGTTCCCCACCCCTGAACTGGTAAATCCACAGTGGTTGACCCAAGCCAGCCAAGTATCGGTGGTTTCAGAATGCTGTGGGGGTTCAGAGCAGGAGAAATCCCTCCTGGCTTCCTGGAAGAGTTTGCAAAAATCATTTAGGAAAGTTTTTAAAAATTACCAAAGCCCGGTCCTCACCCCAGAAACATCGAACCAGACTCTCTGGGGGGTTGACCTTCTGTGTGCTTTGGTTAGTTTGAAAATCCCCACAGTGGGTATTAATGAAGCCAGAATTAAAAAGCACTGGTGTTGATGTAAGAATGCTGGTAGACGAGATTTTGGTTTT